AATTCCGTGCAAAAATGCTGAAAGCTTTACTGAAGATATAAAGACAACGATAGGCAGAATCCTTTTCTACAAAGGAAGACTCACTACTGAGAAATGTTCATGAACAAACACCGAAAGCAACAGCAACCCAAATCCCAAAACGCCCTTCTCGGGGCTCTCGAGGAAAAGTCAGTACCTGTGCAGGTACTAAGTCTGACACACACAGCACTCTACTCTCAAAACCCAGCACAGTGCCTCGTACAAGGCAGACGCCCGCGTAAATCACATGAAACCCTCTGCCGAAGTAGAGATCACCAGGAGCAAGCTGCCGTACCCAACATCAAGCTGTAGCTGAAGTGGTCGAGCGGTAAGTAGGGGTGAAGTAACAAAAGGCACACAGGAGCAGGGAGTAACAACTAATCCAGAAATGCACAAGCACATATTAGAATTTGGTACGTGACAAGGGTAGCAGTTCAAATCTCTGAGGGAAAAACAAACTTGCCTGTAAGCCAGCAATTTGGAAAATAAGCTAGATTTACACTTAATTTTGTATATCACTCTTAACTGCAGATATATCAAAAAATTCAATTTTTTTTTGGTGGTACCGGGAACTGAACTCATGATCTCATGCTTGCAAGGCAAGCACTATACCACTGAGCTATATCCCCAGCCCCAAAAATGCAAGTACTAAATGACACCAAGAGTTTATTTTTTGATCTACGAGTAGAGGAGGTGTTTTTTTTTTTTTTTTTTTTTTAATTTGGTGCTGGAAATCAAACTCAGGACCTTGCACTTGCCAGGCAGGCACTCGTGCTGCTGAGCTGTATCTCTGGCCCTAAGGTGGTGCTTTTAACATGACAGATTTAAATTCTAAATAGTGAAATATGGCTTTAGAGTCTCAAGACAAGTGGGTTGGAAACTAGCTTGAACACCTTTCACTGGACAGAGAAGGCAACACTTGCTTATCAAGGATAAAGCAGCTGGACGAGGCGGTGCGCACCGGGAACCCCAGGTGCGCAGCAGGCTGATGAGGGGTGGGAAGTTTGCGGCCGTCTCAAGCGGAACGGGGCAGGGGGCTGGATGCAGCTAAGCGCCAGCACCAGGGCAGGGAATGGAAGGACTGTAGCGCCTCAGGTAAGTTCTGATTCCTGAATTCACACTATCAGAAACAAAACAAACCTCACGTTCACCCTCACAGAGTATAAACAACGCATTACTATGAAAATTAGTAGATGTAAGCAATAAGCATCTATTTTGCCTTTTTTGTAGGAATTCTCTCTTTCTCTTTTTTTTTGGTCTTTTTTTTTTTGGTTTTTCTCTGGTACCGGCAACCGAACTCACGACCTTGTGCATGCCAGGCAGGCGCTTTTGCCGCTGAGCTAAATCCCCAGCCCCTTCTTTTATGGTCTTTTTGAGACAGGGTCTCAGTATGCAGAGTTCAGGCTGGCCTTGAGTTCACTTTGTAGCCCAGGCTGGTCTTGAACTCCCAGTGATCCACCTGTCTCAGCCTCCTGAGTGCTGGGATTACAGATATGCACCACCATGCCCAGCCATAGGAATTATTTTTTGAGAAATAAAATACTTGATATAAATGGACCTTTTATATTTTACAACCTTAAGGAAAGAATGTCCTAGGCAATGATTATCAATGTCTGTTGAAAGTCAAGGAGCTATTTTATATCTATATATCTATATATCTATATATATATCTGTCTTACTGGAAGAACAAAATATTAAAGTTGTCTTCATAAAATCAAAACAGAAACTGATCAATTACCCGAGTCAAATTAATGTACAAAAAATATAGGGTCACAATAACATGCTAAACATTATCAGCAGAAATCTAGAGTGCGATGCTTTATAGGACAAATCACCTGGGTTCTTCAACAAAAAATTGAGGAAAAAAAAATGATGAGATAGAGGGGGCATCGTACGGAATAAAAGGGCCTTACCAACAGTTGGCAACGTTTGAAACTTGGCTTCCAAATCAAGCTCTCAACAGACAAAAGGTCGCTGGAAAAATGTAAACACTGACTAGGTGTTTGAAGAATTCACAATGCTGAAGCACTGAATGGTTTCCCAGTCGTGTACTAGCGGTGTGGTGATTACACTGAGAGTGGTGTTCCTACTTACCACAGACACGTGCTTAGAGCTGAAAAAGTTACTGAAAAGTGATCATATAAAAGGAACTAACTCTGCGAAAAGAATCCATGTAATGCACTGAGAAACAGAACTTGAAATACAAAAAGACTACATAAAGAGTATTCCTACCATGGATTAAATGTATATTCGGAAGTTGCATTTAGTTCCTTTTTTTTTTGTCTTTTTGAGACAGGGTCTCACTACACAGTTCAGGCTGGCCTTGCGCTCGGTTTGTAGCCCAGGCTGGCCTCGACCTTGCAAAGATCCTCCTGCCTCAGCCTCCTCCTGAGTGCTGGGATTACAGGTCTGTGCCACCACGCTCGGCTAGGAAACTGCATTTAATTCTGTGTCCAAAGCTCTGGCATATAGTCAGCTAATTCCACTTTAAGCATTAAGCATTTTACAATAATTTATCAGGGAAAATATTTTTATCTCTAAATCTAATGGAAACAAAGTTTTACAATAATATTTAAAAATACTAATATTAAAGAAATTTGAACCTCGCCACCTAGTGGACAATGGCTCTGGCTTTTTTACTTAGAATAGAAATTCAGTATGAGAAAGAAAAGCTGTCACTCTCTCCAGGCCCACGCTCCGTCAGTGTCCTAACCCGAGCTCCTCAGCTGCGAGCCATCCCAGGTCCTTTCATCACCCCTGCGCGTGCACGTGGTCCTCTGACTGGAGTCATTTCTTGCACGGCAAACTCTCTTTTCTTTACTTGTACTGGAATCAAACTCAGGACTTGGCGTGTGCCAGGCAGGCGCTGTGCTGCTGAGCTGCGTCCCCAGCCCTCTTACTCACTCTTGAGGGTCCAACACAGATGTGATGTCTGCAGTAAACTTGCCCAACCACTCCAGAGATACCCTGATTGTTCACTTCACTGGCAGGACATGGAATTATCTTTTTATAGGACTTATTTACACTGCAATTTACTGTTCTGGGATTGGCAACCCTCAGGTCTGGGAATGATCTTTGGGTTTCTAGCTCCTAATACAAGCACTCCCTTAAAACAGTGTTCAAAAAATAGTTGCAGACTCAAACTGAATTTATTAATGATTCAATACCTAAAAACTATGGCTTAAAAAATGACAAGTTCTAAGAAGTCTTGCTCAATTGCTCTTATTTTAAAAAGATAAACAAAAGATATATCATCAAATTATGTGACACTAATCCTATCAGACAGGAAACCTGGCTGCACATTTAGATTCATTAATTCTTCCAGAATTTTTTTTTTTTTTTTTTGGATTTACTTAAATTAAGAACTTCATCTAAAGCCAAGCATGGTGGCGCATGCCTGTCATCCCAGTACTTGGGAGGCTGAGGCAGGAGGATCTTTGTGAGTTTGAGACCAGCCTGGGCTACATCGTGAGTTCAAGGCCAGTCTGAACTGCATAGTCAGACCCTGTCTCAAAAAGACCAAAAACAAAGAAACAAAAAAGAACATCTAAAGTGCTTTCTCTTAACTTTTTTAGAGTCAATAAACAGCTTTAGCAGACTATTCCATCAGGTGTGATACAATTTGCCACTGGAAAACAAATCAAACTTTCTAAAAAAATGGAAAGAGGAAAGCTGGCACCAGTGAAGAGAGTTTCAAATTCATTTACAACGCACAGTGCTCGGGGGTAACTCAGCGGGAGCGCACCCCCCTCGCACGCACGCACTGGGCTTCAGGGCAGGGAGGGCGGCCACCGGTCTAAACGAGTCTGAGAAGTCAGGGACGACCTACACGACTTCTTTCTTTTTGGTTTTTTTTTTGAGACAAGGTCTAATGATGTAGCGCAGGCTATCCTTGAACTAACTTATGCAGCCTGGGCTGGCCTTGAATTCACAGCGATCACGTGCCATCACGCCTGGGGAAAGAGTTTTGATAAACTGATTTTACCTTATAATCAAGCACACAGACATGTATCTTATATATATATAACTTAAACCAATACTTACCCTTACTAACAAGATATAACCTGTGTTTTACTCATTCATTGGAAAGAAAAAAAGAAACAGTGGTCAAGCTTCACTCAGATGATTCCACGACCCCAGGACTGTGCTGAGACTAGAAGTTTGATGACCGCCACCCCACAGACATTCTGTACACGATCAAGTATGTACTTAGGCTAAATGGACAGTTCACAACCCTAAAACCAATTTGTATATGGAGTTCACAATGAAATACAATCTTTATGATAAAATTATGAATTTATATTTAGTATAAAATTTAAAAGATGTGGAACTGGAATCTTTGATATCTGAGAAATGAAAAATATTCTATTAAGACAAGTATCTCAGTCTCAGAGCTCTAAAGAAATAATGACCCAGAGCAAAGTGACTGGCTGAATAGTGTTAATACTAAAGGAATCAGGATTTTATTCTAATCAACATTCTTCTTAAATTTTCCTTCAATTCAAGAATGCTTTAAGACGTTCAGTCCACTCGCTTCTCAGCTTTGTTATTCAGTGGTGACGTGCATGGCTTTAAGAATACTTTCCACAGGGTAAACACTACAAACACAAACTTAAACCAAGTCACTCTCTTTCTAACCGCTTATTATTTGTGAGATTCTACTGTACAGCAATTTTACAGCGGCCTCTAACTCCAATTCGCTTTTAATAACTCGCTTTGTCATAACCAAAATACGAATTTTTAAATGATTTTTTTATTAAAAACTAACGCTGAACCAGACCCGTTAACGAACTGTCATTAAGCAATGAAACTCACTCAACCCAGCTTACAGTCCAGGGATCACACGGACATAACTCCTACGCATTTGTGACAGAGGTGGCTTCCGGAGAAAAGCTTCATGAAACTACAGATGACAGAAATGGAAAGACGACAGCACCCTAAAGCAAGGACACTTTCGAGAATCAAAGAAAACTGTTGTTTACTTTTTACAAGACTGCCACAGACACATGAAGTTCTGGCCAGGCTTCCTCACGGCGTCCGCAGGCGGGCTGGGCGCGCTGGGCGGGGCGGGCTGCGGACTGCTGGGCGGGCCCTGCGCCTGCACGGCTGGCGGAGGCAGAGGGGTGTTCTGCGAAGAAGCACAAACAGCTCGTGACACGATACGGAGACAGTAACCCCAGTACAGTCACCCCGACCCGAAATCTACACTGTAACTGCAAGTGATGATCAGCTTTTTAGAAAGGTGATTAATTTTACAAAAGTATTTAGGAAGTATGATTCTTTTATTTAATATGGAACCACAGAGGAAGATGGCACATGGCTGTTATCATTATCAAATACATATGCTCACCCCAGTATCTGTGGGGTCTGGTTACAGAACCCCCGTATTTACCACTGTCTGCTAGGCTCAGCCTCCTAAAACAGCGGAGTGACTGCACGTAACCCCTGTGTAGCCTCCTGTGTACTCAGGTCCCCTTTATATTACCTGCAATACTTAAAACCATGTAAATGCTACGTAAATAGTTACTGTACGGTACTGTTCAGGGGACAATGACAAGAAAAAACACATGTTCAGTACAGACATGTTTCTTCCTCAGTATTTCCAATTCAAGGTTGACTAATTCCACGGAGATCGAGCTCACAGTCATGGCCGTAGGCTGTATTATTATTGTTAATAAAAAATTAATAGTTTTAGATGGAGCAATCCAAGTATAAATTTAAATAACAAATATACTTAAATGTAGCCCGTTGTTCACAAGAACAGATCAGCTGTAAGTTATTACTCCTTTGAGTAGTACTTCCATTCAGATTTTGTAAAGAAATGAAACAATATATGGTAAAAAGCAAAGAAAATTTCAAATGACAGTTGACGTAACTATGGAGTAGCGTAAGTTTAGCTAACCTGCAATAAAATGTTTACTGATTTTAGTCTTTGAGGTTCAACTGTATTAGTGAAATGATTCTAACTGGAGGCAAAATGTCCTCTAAATATATTATTTTTTCTTCTGTATCATACCCTTTTCTCTCGGCAAAACACTAACAAATTAAAATGAATATAGCTTAAAATTTTAGGCAATACATTTTCTTAAAACCACACAGAGAAAAAGTCCTGAATTTCTTCTAGAAATAGTAGCATACAATTCTCAAGCACTGTTTTAAGACAAAAAAACTCGGGAAATACCGAATATATTTGGTCATTTGTAAGTGAAAACTGCCGAGAGCCTCAGAATAAAAACAATAATTATAAAAAGACACAACATATAAGGTTATAAAGTTATACAAATGAAAGATGAGAACAACACGCTGAAAGAAAAAGATCAGAAATAGGAGTTGTAAGATCTTTCTGAGTTCTAAGCGTGCGAAAAATCTAATTTGAGGATGTTATTGGCGTTGCTTCTCCAGTAGGTTTTTACCCTTGAATTTTACAGTGGGTACTAGGGAAACACGCGCATGCATGAAGAACAGACGTCACGGCTGGCTGGACAGGTCAGAACCCAAAATGTCAAGCTGCCTCGTAGCTAGTCCTGTGACCCAGGCAACCGAATTACCTTCTCTGATTTCCAGTTTTCTCATCAAGTATCTATAAGTAATAAAACTGAACTAATGAGATGATGAGAAAACTAAAAAAACCACACAGGAAGTTTTCAGGTTGTCTAGATTATCTAGGCTCTAGTCATCAATCGGTGGCAACTGTTGCTAACACTGTGATAACGGAGAAGCTCAGCCAGGAAGCCAGCTTCTGTCGGACAGAGACGCTGGACGGGGATGACTTCGAGGAAGATGAGACAGGAACCAAAAAAAGTCTACCAGCAGAAGTCAGCGCTAGAAACGCAGATCTGAGCGTCTGCGCTTATCTTTAAAGCCGTACAACTGGTGACCGTAAGAAAGCGGACGGAAGAGAGGGTCAAAAGAAAAAGAAGAAGGGAAAGGACATACCGGACTACTTATAAAAACACACAGAAAAAATAAAAGACTAGTTACAACTTGACATGACAGTATTGCACTAAAAACCTAGGAGATTCTAATTATTGGGATTAACAAGGAACATCCGTTTTGCTAAGTCTGAAGGGAAGTTATTAAAATGCCCCAATTTCTCCCACCCAGTATCCACTGGGGACTGAACTCGGCCTCACACATGCATGGCAAGCATCCTAGCATTGAGCTAGAGCCCAGCCCTATTTAAAATTTTCTTTTTGTGACAGTGTCTTACTAAGTATTCCAGGCTGTCCGCAAACTTGCAATCCTTGTGCCTCAGCCTCCTGAGTAGCTAGGATTACAGGTGTCCACCAGAGAGGGTGTACACCTCAGAACTCCCTGATTCCCTCCCTCCCTTCCTTCCCTCCTTTTCTTCATTCCCTCCTTCCTTTCTTTCCTTCTTTCCCTCTTTCTTTCTTTCCTTTTCCTTCCTTCCTTCTTTCCTTTCTTTTTCTTTTTCTCTCTCTCGCTTTCTCTCTCGCTCGCTTTCTCTCTTCTCCTCCCTCCCTTCCTCCTTCTTTCCATCCCTTTATTTTGGATACCAGGAATCAATTCAATACCTCACACTCGCCAGTCAGGTCAACTGCACCACTGAGCTAAATCCCTAGCCCCTCAGAACTTTAAAGGACAAACACTTGTTAATGGTATCAAATTTCTCCTTCTCTATACTGTTACCATTTCAATTAGGTATCTTTCTGACTGTCCCATCCTGTATTTGTAAATCAGTCTTAATTTTATCTTTGTAAGTGCTAACAAACTTTAATCTTATTTCCTCCTTGTAATTGTGGAACTCTTATTGGTATCACAGGAAATTTAGCAGCAGGGTGTCATACGGTATTTTAATCCCAAGTGTTAACAAGAGATGTACCAAGGATGATTGAAGTTAATCTGTTACATTAAGATGAGTACAGACATATTAACTAAAAGCAACCAGCAGAAACTTTGGAGACCCTAATTCAAAGAAGCTGTTAAATATTTTTTAAAGATAACTAAGGAAACACTGAAGATACACTGGGTATCAGGAAATACTGGGATTGCTACTGTTACCAGGCACAGGGGCTCACACCTGTGATCTTGGTTTAGTCTCAAGTCTAAAGCAAGAGAATCACAAGTTTGAGGCGGTCTGGGCAATTTAGAGAGACCCTATCTCAAAATAAGATTTTAAAAAGGTCTGGAGATACAGCTCAGTGGTCGAGCGCATGCCTGTCATGTCTGAGGTCCTGGGTTCAATCCCCAATACTGCACAAAAAGAAAGAAAAGAATTACTTTTGTTAGACATGATTTGATATTGTAGTTTTATGTGTGTATTCAAAACTATGTTATTGGCAATTATATATTGTACAGTGACAGTCTTTAGGATTTGCTTGAAAGTACTCCAGGAAAAAAATAAGATGGGGTAGGGAACTGACTAAACAAGAATAGCAAAATGCTGATAATATTTAAAGCTAAGTGACAGATACAATGGAGGTTTAATTGCTCTATTTTGTAGTACTACACAGTTTTCAAAGAACCAATGAAATTAATCTTTTAAGAATTAGGTATTTTGCATGAGAGTACAAAATGGTTTCTTCCAAGCTGTAAGTTCATTTTCTCTGAACATGATCATTTACTGCGAACTGGCAGAGTATCAGGCATAGCCATGACTTGAACATACACACAGAAGTAGGCTGTGCACGTTTTCTGCATGCTCAGCTGCTAGGAATATTCTCTATCACCCCTCTATTCTAATTAGGGAGAACTAGCTAATGCTTCGCATTAGTTTTTGTAATCAAAGTGGAAAAGGCACTTCTTCAACTTTATGCAAAGGATATGAAACAATCTTATGACTTTCTGTGTAATGTAAAGTTACATTTTAGTGAATACAGCAATTTTACATGTGGAAAAAATATTGCTTTTTTTGTTAATTTATAATCTTGCCTTTTCATCTTTTCAAAAGTAAATTACAGCTAAATTTTAGGAAACAGATAACAATTTAATTTCTTGCTTTTAAATCTTTACTTTCTTATTACTGAATAAGACTACAAGTTAAACATTTCAACCTGTGTCAGAAAAGGCAGAAAGCTATGATCTATTATATCCTCAAAATAAATTCTTAGCAATAATGAAATACGCGCTCCCGTCCAGCTGCACAGTTTGAAAGCCATGTACAGAGTGGAGCAGCGGAGGTAAGCAGGACGGCGAATGAATCAGACACCACGACCCTAAAGCCAAACTGAAGTAACTGGTAAAGTGTATTTCAAATAGAGAAGGAAGGAAAGATACCTTCAAAACCTCAAAGGGAACAAGAATTAGATTTATTCTAAATGTGATGTCCAGAGATTACATTTAGTCTAAATGCACACGTTTACAGAACAGAACTGAGACAGTAATGGAAATCATTAAAAAAAAGTTGTTTAGGGCTGGGGATTTAGCTCAGTGGCAAAGCGCCTGCCTGGCAAGCACAAGGTCGTGAGTTCGGTTCCCGGTACCGGAGAAAAACCAAAAACCAAAAAAAAAAAAAAAAAAAGTTGTTTATCAGCATGGGCAAGTCACGTCACTTCTTAAGACTGAGGGCTTCAGACAGCACAGTAAGATCCGTTCAGCTCTTACAGGCCCTCATTTTCTTAAAACTACAGGTTGAGCATCACTAACCCAAAAATCTGTGTAATTTGAAATGCTCCAAAATCTGAAACTTTTCTAGTGTGAACATAATATCACAAGTACAAAAATTGTTTAAAGTATTATACAAAGTCACCTGCAGGCTACATGTACATGAAACATAAGTTTACATTGGATTCTATCCCCAATATGTCGATTATGTCTATATAAATATTTTAAATTCTAGGAAAAGTCCAAAATTTCAGTCACTTTTGTGCCCCAGCGTTTCTAATAAGGGATACTCAATCTCTACCATGTTTTTCTTCTAGGAAGTATATAATCTAAATGATGAATATATACCAAACCTGTTTTCTAAGAATACACAGAAAAAGAAACAAGTTACGCTGAGTGGTAACGCCTTTCACAGTTTTACAATGTGCTGCTCTACAGCTCTGAGCAAGATGGGCTGAGGACACAGCTCAGCGGCACAAGTGCCTGCTTGGCAAGTCCAAGGCCCCGAGTTCGATTTCTGACCCCCTCCAAAAAAAATACAAATCTGAGCAAGAAATTTAAAAAACACTGAAATGATATTCTTGAGGCTTTTGCGAAAATACCTTCTATGATTCTGATTAAATGCTGCCCCCTTGAGGTTACAGATCTGCTTTCTGATGGGCTGAATACATTTCTCAAGTTTATTATCAAAAAAAAGATACCAATATTCCGTATTATACAGAACCACACCAGGAATGGTCCCCGTGCAGAGAACAGGAAGTAAGGCAAGGCGTATGTAAAGTACCGTAAGCAGCCACATCCTTAAGCAAATCATTTTTACATGCAAGATTCTGATGTGTTGTCAGATCATGAGATTATCAGATCAGCGCACCCTCGAGCTATGACCGGCAAGAGGAACAGTTTGGGTTATGCCCTGGATGCCAGCTGACTGTGCTTCCAGGCGCTCTCAGATACAGATTTAACCCTTAAAGAGTTCTGGGTGCAACACTGCAACGTCCTTTCCTGTGTGGGGTTAACTGAGAAATCCCAGGCCAAGGTCTCTCTAAGGACACTGAGATCTGCTGACAGGAGGGAGACTTTGAAGGGTGTGTGGGAGGAGCCTGGGCTTCCCCTGACAACCTAAGTTACAACCATGCCTCAGGGATGAATTGAGTTCAAGAGTCAAGGGTCCACTGTGTAAGTGCATTCAGCGTGTGTTTTGTATGATGCTAAAAAGTCTGGAGGTGTAGCGCTGGGTGTGGTGGTGCACACCTGTAATCCCAGCAATTGGGAGGCTGAGGCAGGAGGATTGTTGTGAGTTTGAGGCCAGACTGGGCTACAAAGTGAGTTCAAGGCCAGCCTGAACTGCACAATGAGACCCTGTCTCAAAAAGACTAAAAAAAGTCTCATTTTTATTTATGTTTTTTAATAAAAGATGTGATGGAAAGATACAGTGAATGTTTAAAGAAACTTTTGTTACAGGAAGACACTGTCAAAAGTACCCCTCAAAATCTCCCTCACGTTGAACACCCTCGCCCATCACTCTTGCCAACTTCAGTAGCAGCTCTGGAAGCCCTCTTTCAGGCAGCCCTCTTTCAGGCGCGTCTTTGGTTGTGTTGGGCTGCCCTGACGTCGTGTACTGTCTCCACACATTTACCTTTCAGGTCGTTTTGACTTTGGGGAAGAGCCAGAACCGCACGGTGCCAGATCTGACGAGGAAGGTGCACGAGGACACACTATGTCTTTACTTGCCTGCCTTTCTTCATTCGGAGGGCACCCCGCACCAGCATACAAAACACACGCTGCATTTCTGATCATATCTTACTTAGATACGAAAGAGGACTTCCAGAACTGCTTCAGAAAGTGACAGGAACGTGAGAAAAATGTGTTCAAAGTCAGGCTGAGGATTCTGAGGGCTGCTAACGGCAATTTGTCTTCTATTGCAGTGTTTTAGAATCTGCTCACACGCTGCGTGTCAATCTCGTTTCTTGGCCCCAGGTATCAACTCATGAATAGTGGACGCGGACAGGGCACCTGGGAATGGTACCCTGGAAGTTGCCCTTGAACTTGCAAACAGATTTAAATTAAGCAGTTACAAATAAGGAAATTTACCTTAAAGTAGATAGAAAAATTTTGGGGTGAAGGGGAGAGGCTCAGTATACAGTCCAGGCTGGCCTCGAACTCGTCACGTGGCCCAGGCCCGCCTCCTCTCGAGTGCTGGGATGAAGGGCGCGCACCACCACGCCCGGCTTCGCTTTGTATGCACACAAACTGTCCAGTTAGACACTATTTAAACACACAGTCTATAGTTGTACCACTTATTTTCATTTTACTTTCCTATATATTCTTCCTTTACTTGTTGCTATTTTTTTTCTAAATGAAATTAGTAGTTGATTCGCAGAGGCAAGAAGGGACAAAAACAGTAAGAAGATAAGAAATAATAAAGGTCCTAGAAAGGACCACATCTTTGCTGTCCTCCGAGGGAAAAGTTTCCCTGCGGCCTCGGAGTCGAAGCCTTCGGCAAGGCCGGGAGTCTCGCCCGAGGGCCGGCCGCCTCCTTGGCACCCCTGGAACGGCTGGAAAGGGTGAGAGTGACACGTGTGGCTGAAAAATCACATCTGAAACCCTCTGTTTCAGACCTCTTCAATTGACCAATTCAGACTGTGAACGAACAGTGTTAGACCAAACCCTGAAACGCAGATTAGAGCATCTGCGAGGGAACTTACAGAACCTGGGCAACGGTGGGAATCCCTTTTTAATGGCCGGCTCTTAAGAATGCTGGATGGCCTTTCAAAAAAATTCTGTGATACTTTTTTGAACACTTCTTTTTTTTGTCTGTTCCGTATATCTAGCCTTAAGTATCATTAATTTTATATATGGATCTAAAATACGTTTGGCCCATTGTTAAGTGCTTAACTATGTGGTAGACATCATACTAAGTGACGTACATAAGGATCCTGGATTTTTATTCTCACAGACACCATTCATGTTACACCTTTTTCCTTGCAAAGTTTTTAATTTCTACACACCAACCAAATAGTAATTTTCCAAATAATGTAGGTTTTTTCACTTGTGGTGCTGGAAATGAACACAGGGCATTTATGCATGCGTGAACCGCAGCCCAGAATGTAGATATTTTAAATAACTACATAACTGGGGAGACTGCACAGCAGTTTGAGTCAGGATTTTCACATCAGAAATAAACCACACTCATTTAGCGGCCTAAACGTGACTAATGTGCTAAGTAGTTTTAGCACTAAAACGATCATTCAGTAGTTCTAACCTCTATTACACAACACTTCAAATAATCACAACGTGAGACAAAAAGGGCTTCTTAAAGTTTTACAGAAAATCTTCCCGTCTAGTGGAGAAAAGAAAGGTTCACTGAGTTGCGAGCATCAATTCCGGTTTCAAATGTACCCAAGCGTCAGCCCTGGTAAGCCCGTCCTCCACTGGCACCCTCAGGTGAGCTCTTTAACCTCTGCACCTCTCACCTCTAAGACGGTGCGAACAATTCACTCCTAACAGGACTACTGTGAGGGTTAAGTGAGAAATGCCCAGGACGAGGTCCCTAGACATGGGGGCCCAACCTTATGAGGGTGAACGAAACAATTCCATAGAATCAGACTTTCTATTTTGGCTTGGTCTATTATAACTAGAGATTTGGGGAAAAAAGGAGAGGCATATCATCAGCAGGAACTGAAAAATTATTAAATATAAGATACAAGAAACAGCTTACTGAAAGTCTACTATATATGCAACATTGCACTGTTTAAGTGAAAAACACCTTGTGAATGCTATAGGAAAATGACTTAGCATTTTCTACCAATCATTCGTTATTGCTATGTACCTACTACATAACGTACAATGCAGTCATCAGATCCAGGCAGCACAAACATGCGTATTAAAATGCCATTACGCCCAGGGTAGTACAGTGCAACTCTGTCCACACACACAAGGGAAGAAGCACATGTGGTCTGTCTGCAGCAAGGGACTTTGCTCTTTTTTGTTGCTGTGTATTCTGTCTTGCTATCACTCATACGTAAGTATGACGCTAACGCCAGTGACCGTCATAGTTCTGCTGTCATCACTACAAGCATAACGAAAGCCAGCCAGGGAAACGCTAGCAGCACTGGCAGGTCACAGAGGGTTCTGGCTGTGTACTGACGAGAAAGACAGAGGAAAAGAGAAGGGTTCAGAAAAGGGTGATGGTGACTGTCGGGGGAATCCACGGCTTCTGGAGAAAGACTGTGTAAAACTGGACTCTCAGTTCAATAGAGCAGAAGATACTCACGTCTACTACTAGGGCATGTGTAGTGGGACAGTAGGAGTTACAAAAGAACAGCAGAAACACGAAGGTACAGCAAGGGAATGAGAAACACAAATATGAAAATACGTGAAACAAACTGTAATTAAGAATATTCATTAAAAATGAAGGAAACCAGGCCAGGTATACAGCTCAGTGGCACAGTACCTGCCTGGCAAGCATGAGGTCCTGAGTTTGAGGCCTGATACCAAAAAAAAAAAGGAACCAATACATAAATGCTTAAGAATTAGTTAAAACTTCTTACTGGATTCATCCTTTTCACCAAAAGGCTATTTAAACAGCCATAAATGCACACTGAAAATCAAATACAGATCCCCTTTAGGAAGTCTCCCTTACCACCCACAGACTCCAGAAGGGACTGACACAATTTTTATATTTTTCAAATATGTCAGATAAGCAACTGTAACATGTATTACACACTATATATAATAACTGTGTATATGTATATATATATGTATACACACACACAATTACTAACTTGGGTCTACAATGAAACGGAAAAATTCTCTCTATATGCCAGTGACTGAACTGCTTAACATTATAAAACTAAAGAAAAAACAGGACAGCTTGAGTATAAGCGAGCTGCAGCAGTAACTCCTCACGGCGAGACGCGGGAGAACAGCGCTTCCCCCTGGAATCACAGCGTCCAGTCGGACCGCTCCGCGGAGAGGAGCGCGCAGCGGGCTTACCTGCGGGACCACGCTCGGCACGTAGGCGGGCGCGTGCTGCTGCTTGCGCTGAACGGCACTCTCTATTGCTACTTTAGCTACCGTGCTCGGGTCGGCTCCCGCCGGCACCGCGACCATCGTTGCACTGCAGCCGGCATTGTTGGGGTCACTGATTGTAACAATTCGGACTCCTACTTTATTTGGAATTCCTGTGACTGCTTCCCTATCAGTATCCTCTGCTGGCCTCTTTACAGTTTTGCATTCTGCTGTGCCATTTGCAGACCGAACATCAGAGGATAGGGCAGGAGAATGGGAAACTCTTGATCCTGAGTGGGAAACTGCTATGATTTGATGCCCCTGTATAACAGAGGTTGTAGAATGCGGTGAGACAACTACACTTGGGCGTTGCTGAGGCACATCTGAATTCAAACTTGAAGCTAGAGGTCCGTTAGGCAAATCAGTACCACTAAACTGCTGCACTGTCGTGTTTGAAGCCTCCTGCACACTGCACACGGACGGCGAGCCCCCCAAAGCTAGCACAGGTCCGTTAGAGACCCTCTCTAGTTGGTCACCTTTGGCAGTGCCTTGCTGAGTGGCACCCAAAGTCCCTTGTGGCTCCACCGGGGATATCTCACCATTTCCTACATGATTGGAAGTTTTGTGATTTGGAATGTTTTTGCTTAAATGAGAACCATCTCCTTTATCAAAATCACAGATTCCATTCACTAAGGGTTTTTTCAAATCACTTTTGACGTCCTGCATGTCCATTTGTTCTGAGTTCTGTTTTCCAGAAGATCCATTCTCACCTAATTCTAGCGATGGCCCATTACTGATTAGTGAGCACTGATTAGCCTCACTTTTCCCTGAGTTTGTCGGAGGTAGACTTGAGTCACTGTACTTTCTCCCATTCAAGAGACTGCCCATCTGCAATTCACTTTCCTTGGTATCCCCATTGCTGGTGTTCGTAGGTCCACGTCGACAGGAAGGGTTCTCCATCACTTCGATTTTACGTTCGTGAACATGTAAACCTGTTGCTTCCTTTGCTTCCTCCTCCTTTTGGCAAATTATTTTATCACCTTTGAACGGGGGAGTAGCAGTGCATGATGATTGTCCAGCTGGAGAAGTCTGAGAGGCTGGAAGGGTTTGCACCTGCAGTCCCACTCCTGCCTGCGTCCCGCTCATAGCGATCCCTGCTGGAGCGATGAGCTGAGCTGCGCTTCCCTGACTCACAGTTGCAGTTGCAAAACTTGTATTTGGCACAACTGTTATGGTTACCTGGTTCCCAGACGTCCCCTGGAAAATGGTTGCTGGGCTGTTTGAGATCAGTGGGCCTGGTAATATTTGTAAGTTCGAGATGGGCACAGTTTGCACTCCCCCCGTGGGTGGCATTGCACTTTGGACCAACTGAACATTTTGCTGCCCAACCAAGAGCTGCTGAGGTGGAGTCTGCGCTTGCACACCAAAACCAGCTGTTTGGTTATTGGCCACCTGATAGACCACCTGAGGGCTAGGAGCCCTTGCATTGTTAGGGGGAGGAATCTGTGGAGCGGGGAGAATAAGCTTACCACCTGGGGTTGAAGGACCACGCTTTGGAAGCAGCAACTGTTTTATGAGGCTTGACTCACCAGAAGCAGGCGGACCAACTCCTGCACCTGCTGGCGGAGGCTGAGCCTGCATCTGTACTTGCTGGGACTGCTGAACCTGTACCTGTACCTGGTGTGGCGGGGGTGCTGGTGAATGCTGCTGCTGCTGCTGCCTTTTCACAGACAGCATCTGACTGACAGTAGGAGGTGGTCCCTGGGGCTGAGGGGTGGAAGAAGACGGCATGGCGGTAGGGACTTGGTTACTGGTAGCTGGGGCAGGCGATGGTGAAGACGACGGAGTTATGTTTGGTTGTCCAGTTAGCTGAACTGTCTGGCCAGCTGGAAGAGCTGCTGGGTTAGCAAGAACAATCTGGTGAATGGCTGGTGCGTAGGGCTGACCTTGTTGAGCCGGCTGGCTTACAATCACGACACTCTGTTGGGCTGGCTGCTGCGGCTGTTGGATAGGCTGCTGTACCACTGCTGATGAGACTTGCTGAGCAGGGAGAGGCTTCGGGGCAATGTTCTGAAACCCTACTCGGGAGGGCTGTGGGCTCGGGACACCAGCAATGGTAACCATCTGTCCTGCAGCTACCTGAAAATTCTGCACTGAAGTTGCTGAGACAATATTGGACGCAGAGGTCGTTACATACTGTGGGGGAGCTATGATCACAGTGTCTTGTGGCTGGCTACCCGCTGACGTCTGCTGAGATGAAGCTTGCACAGGCTGGGGCGAGGTGGGGATTAGTTGTTGACCCTGTGAAACTGTAGAAGTACAAGCTGGTATGTTCTGTACTCTGCCAAATACATGACTCTGTGGGACAGCCTGCTGAATGACCGTGACAGGAGTGCCTGAAGGAATCTGTCCCGGTACCACCGTGTGTAATGGAGACGGCTGTGGAATTACAGATGGATGGTGAAGCAGTGTCTGAGAATTCACAACTGTGACGGGCTGTGGGCCTGTACTATGGTTCTGAACCACAGAACTCTGAGCAGGTCCTCCTCCAACAGCAATACTAACGGGAACAGCTGTCTGGGCTATAGAATTCTGTATTACTGTAGTTTTTACAACTTCACAAGGAACTGGAGCTTTATTTTGAATGACGGTCACTGGAGCATTTTGCTGCTGGTGGGTATGAACTGAAGGATTTGGAGGAATTCTTGAAACAGTCTGTGCCACAGTATGGATACCTTGTACTGGAAAAGACATTTGTGTTGCAGTCAAATTTGAAGATTGGTTGGTAACAGGAGTCCTCTGAAAATGATTTCCTACAGTCTGTGATCCAAGAGGAATTCCTGAAAATAAAAGTTTCACATTAAATGATTGAAAAATTTAAATAGGCATTATTTTACTTAATACAAGAAAAGAATTTTAAGAAATGGACATCCTACAACTATGAATCTGATAAAAGAGGCCAATTGATCTGCTTTATTATTACACTAGTAATAACTGAAACAGAAAAGAAATTACTACCTGCCGGCGAAGGAGCCGGAGACACATCAGGTACAGAATCGACACGCACAGCAGGAGCAGAGACCGGCTGCTGCTGATAGTACATCTGAATGGGGAGTGGTATGGCCCTCCGCTTCACCCCGACCACGTGAATGTGCGCCTGCCCGCTGCTGCTGGCATCCTCCACTCTCTTCACTGTATGATTTGGAAAGACTGTTCTGTGGAGGAATTCCGACTGAAATTAGTTATGATGACCAGGACACTAGCAAGACACACTGACACCCAACAACGTCTGCACGAACAGTGGCCATATAGTCACTGCCACTGAGGTATACAGCAGTACTTATCGAGCTGTATTTGGGAAAGGGAAGGAGCAAAGAAAGAAATACAGAGGAGTAGTACGTCCCCTCCAACTTGAACCACTATGGTACGTGCGTGACTGTCCCTTCAGGCAGCTTGTGCCACTGGTGATAGAAGTGGACACTCAGGCATATATCACAGGTGGTCCAACCTGCCCAGCAGTTGAGATATACAAATTATGGCACCATCATGAACACGTTCATCCTCCAATTTAATACGTCATTATTTACCATGTTGCTGAGGGTTTTTTTTTTTTTTTTTTTTTTGCTCATTCCCTCCCTCCCTCCTTTCCTTTCTTCCTTTTTAAAATTTTTGCTTTATTTTTCCCTGTACTTGGGACTGAATTCAGAGTATCTGAACCAAGCTACATCCTTGGGCCTTTATATTTATTTATTTAAATTTTAGACAAGTTTCCCGTAAGCTGCCCAGGCTGGCCTCGAGCTTGTTACCCTGCTTCAAGCTCCCGGAGTGCTGGGATTACAGGTACGCACTCCCACATCGGACTTACAGTCTCACTGAGTTTTAAGGGATGCCTCCTCATAATACAACTAACTTAAAAATACCTATTTTATGAACCTAGATGATCAAAAAGCCTTAATATCTGAAGACAGTATTAATTATAGACTATTATTTAAGATTTTAAATATCTAGAGTCTTTGAGATGGAAAAACTGATAGGAAAAAAGAGATAAATGAATTTTATTAAAGAATTATGTGTCCTACCGAAGGCATTTATAAAATCCAGTAGACGTGAGGATCCCACCGCGAGCTAATTTACTACAAGTTGAGAGGTACTCAGAATACATCTCTGCTCGAGAGACAGAGCAATCTGGATTTACTTCAAAATGAGCATTTAGCCTAAAGGAGGAGAAGAGAGAAGGCTTTACACAGCAGACTACAGCACATACTTAAATATGCCTAACTTTGAAAGCAATGTGTTAAAGCAGTAATTACATTACTTAATCAAATTTCACTACCTCATTATGCTGCTAACAAAAATACAAGCTGAGTTTTGGGCAGAGTCAATCAAAAGAGATTTAGTACTTAATTATACCTATTGTAGTGCTAAAAATATCAACAATTAATATGAAAACTATGTTCAAAACCCAGGAAGAGCCAGGCTGGTCTGCTGGGAGTAAATGTTCTGTAGGAAATGGTTTTATTTAGTGAATGTCTACTATGTTTCCCACAGTAATTATAATGTAACCGGTTCCCAATTATGAGTTACATACATCAAAGTTGAGGAAAACAGTGGGAAAATGAACTAAGGTTAAACTTTTCTTGGCTCTTGGATCAAATTCCTTCAGAAAAAACTATAGCAAAGCTTTCCGACTACTCCCTGTAACAGCAGTATTTCCTACGCTGCACTTTCCCATTTCCTCATGTGGGAAAGCTTGTTTCTGTTTGGTAATTCATTACAAACTCATTCAGACTTCAGTCTGTCTTTTTCTTAAAGTGGCTTCTAGGAAAACAGGACATAAAATGAATTACATTCACCAACTTCCCACAATGAATGTAATCACTATGTAGTACAAACATGTACTAGGAAAAATTAAAATTAAAAAAAAAAAATCAAAGTAACTTGTATGTCTAGGTTGAGATCAGGAGTTATCCTCCCAAGTCTGTCTCCAGAACTCACTATGCGTAACAGGTCAACTTAGCTACTTCTTACAAACTTAACCAAGTCATAATTATGATAAAATAATTCTCTTCCCCTTCTCAAGACAAGCCAGAAACGTCCAAGCTGAAGTGTGAAGAACAAATCGCTGTACATATTTTATCGTGGTGGTGTTACATGTTCTTCGTAACTTTCAAAGGCTCTCTGCACAGAGATTTCAGGAAGACCAAATGTTCTGGTTGCAATGTAAAAGGCAAACCTTTCTGCATATTATTAGAAGAGATTCATCAAGTATAGGGGTTAATGGTAAAAGGTGAGAAGGTGAGAAAAAAGTAAACAACTAAAGATGTTGAAAACCACAAAACTGATCTAAGCAAAGGAGAGAGTCTGGAGAAAACTGTCATAGGCACGAAGATATGAAAGCACCGAGAACAAGGAACAGAGTGACGGGGCACAGGACGGGAGACAAATGATAGAGAACAGGAGAGAAGAGTCAAAGGCAGATACAGTTAGAAGCGATACCACATCAGAAAGCCATCTTATACTACAAGCTGTTAATCTAAGCAGAGTTTAAATTATTCAATAAGTAATATGGAGGCAACTATGCATGAAACACGAACACTGTCCAACTCCACATTTTTCAGAGAGTGGCTGAGATGTGACGACTTAATCTTGTCAGGAAAACATTATGGTCAAGTTGCGATTTCAAGGTATATACACTGACTATTCTCCTGGTTTCTTTTTTTTTTTTCCCTTGGTATTTTTTTGAGACAAGGTCTTGCTATACAGTTCAGGCACGTCTTGAGCTCACTTTGTAGCTCAGGCTGGCCTCGAACTCAACGATCCTCCTGCCTCAGCCTCCTGAGTGCTGGGGTTACAGGTGTGCACCACCACGCCTGGCTGATTATTCTCCTGTGTGATTAATATTCTCTTGGTACTTACAAAAAGGAAAAATTAACTATCAGTGTTAAGTTTTGCTTTAGATGAAGAAGGGACATTGAACAACCAAACCTAGTTTTATATTTTAGTCTAATTCAGTTATAAGAAAATATTAATTTTAGAAGTACTCTGCAATCTAACATTCTATAACACAACAGACAAGATTTTAAAATATGCAATATTTTAAAAAGGTGTAATTTAATAAAGGTCTAGTCAGGCCATTTTAATTAGGAAAATTGTGAATATTTTCCTTTCAAATGATTACAAAATGTAGGTGAAACAGTTTTATACTGCCTTTTCTTCAAATAAATTTTATATATATACATACATATATACACACACATATGTACGTATATATGTGTGTGTGTGTGTGTGTGTGTGTGTGTATATATATATATATATATATATATATATATATATATGTGCCGGAAATTGAACTCAGGACCTTGCGCTTGCTAGGCAGGCACTGTGCGGCTGAGCTATATCCCCAGCCCCACATAACGAAAAGGAAATACATAACAAAACATTCTGGGTGACTGTTGAATATTTTTCCTGTGCTCTGTTTTTCTTGTGCTGTATTTTTTCCCAGGAGAAAGCCTTAGTAGAAATAAATCACTTACCACTGACAAGCAAACTTCTCACTATCTATTTCCACTATTCCTGGAGGTGGAGCAACGTGCTGAGCTACAACTGTTCTGGAAGCTGAAGAAGAAAATACATTAGCTGCATCATTTAAAAAACTCAGTCATGACATACCGTGATTTAGTTCACCGACACTGAACCAGTAACATTCATATAGAATACCATTTACAAAAGTATGTGAACAGATGAAAGTATACAAATCTGGGAAAGAAATGTTTAATTATGTAAGATGTAATAGAACACACAGTAAACAAGGCACCATCCTAGATGTTTCACATTTATTCAGCTTCACAGTCACTTAATTACAATTCCATTGATGACTCGCCTAATACAATAAAACTTTTTCCCACAGGCCAGACACTAAATACTTTATATATATTATTTTCCCAAATTATCTATGAGGCACATACACACGAGAAAATTAAATCTTAAAGTAATTTAAACAGGCCAGGGTCACACAGCTCAACACATAATAAACAACACTCAGCTTAAGAAGCAAAAGCCTTAGAAACTATAACTTCACTTCTGGATTTAAAAGATTAATATTAACTCTGTAAATATCTGGGATAGGATGACTGAGCTGAACTAACTTAAAAGTCCCACATTTCAGGAAAGATTTTCAGAGACTGCATTTCCTCCAGGGAGGAAAAAATAAAAGAGCTCTGAAATATACTTTTTATCTTAAAAGATGCGACAGTTGTATGAAAATGTACTGGTTACCAATCAAAAGATATACTTTAAAATAACTTTAAGGCCAATACATAAATGAAGTTGAACAAAGTAACCTATTTTCTAACAAGTTGTATATATCTGTAAAAAAATATATACCATTTCTACTATGCTACACAAAAGAATTAAAACATAAAAATACAACAGAAGATAATATAAAACTTATGCTATGACACTGAAATATAAATAAGTCACATATTTATAATTAAAAATTAAATTATACCACTTTGAGCAGCATTATTTTGAAATTTCTAAATATATAGTACATACCCATTTTCCATCAGTGTTAGTTAAACTTCCTCAGGACACTCAAATAGGTCAAAGGTATCTGAGGAATAAAACTAGAGGAGTGCGCAGACATAGCTGGACCTGAACGATCTGATGAGGCTTCCAGACTTTCTCTTAGGTAATGCTAAGAGTAGCCCTGAAACAGGGTTCCAGAGGCCATAGTCTGATATGCTTCCTCACAGAAGACAGCAATTAGAACAGAAACCCTCTTATGGGCAATCCCCGCTTACTATTTTTTCCATCAACTTGACAACACTCTTACAGAACATACCTCTCTAGGGCCTGCCTATGTACAAACCTCCTTCCTTCATCACTTGCTGTGAGTATACTCCATTCATACTGAAACGGCCTGAATCAATCAACAATCTTATACAACATTCAAAATGTAGTTGAAACTATGAGAAACTTTATTGACAATGCATCAAAAACAATGAAGCCACCATTAAGAATTTAAACTGGAAATGTGCAACTGCTACGTGCAGCAACAAACCGAGAAGCTGCAGACATTCCAAGTGATCCAAATGCATTTAAACTCTGGAAGGAATCAGCTTTCAGACAATTTATGTTACGTTTCTGAAACTCTTGCCTGAAACCATTACGTCTTCTTTGATAACTGCTGTTTTCCATGTTGGACCAGAAAGGTTTAATTCACTTTTTTTTTCCAGGAATCAAACTTGGGACCGACCTTGTGCTTGCCAGGCAGGTGCTGGGCTGCTGAGCTATGTCCCTGCCCCTTCTTCTTTTAGACAGGGTCTTACTCTATCTAAGACTGGCCTCGAGCTCATAGTGATCCTTCTGCCTCGGCCTCCCGAGTGCTGGGATTACAGGCGTGTGCAACCATGCCTGCCTCTAATTCTCCCCTTTTTAGAGCACTGCAGGATCATGGCTAATTGCACGACTGGAGCCCCGGCTGGCTCCAGAGTTCTATCACACCCTAGCTCTGTAATCCAGGTAAGTTATGTAAATTATCTACCTGTAAAATGGGGAGAAGTATCAATACCCTGACCTCCTAGACGGATACAAAGAGTAGAGGTGTCTGTATGTAATCAGCTAAAACAATGCTTGGCACAAAGCAAACGCTATCGTTGCTACTGTTATTATTAAACCCCTGGCACAGCTGAAGAGTCCGACACTGCTCATAAAGCCTCCCAACAAAGGTATATGTAGGGCCGCCTGTCAGTCCCAGCACTTTATACAGTACGGGTTAAAGGTAAAAAAGTTAGGCATTTCATTGATGTCCTACACCCCTTTGGTGTTCTGAATTCGGAAGTATTGCAGAGAGAGCGAACTCTGCCTAATATCTTTGCCTTCTACCCCTTATCTACTGTCAAAGCACTACTTCTGAGGCAGAATCTTGTGCTAAAAAAAAAAAAGCACCAAATTATTTCTTAAAAAAATTGAAGGTAGTGGTATTTCATTTATTTAGATGAAGGGGCCTGGGATACAGGTCAGCGGCACAGTGCCTGTCTGGCAAGCACAAGGTCCTGAGTTCAATTCCTGGTACCAAAAAAAAAAAGTCATTTAGATGATAAACTCATGACAAGTGTAACTTAGAACTCTAAACTAAGGAAAGTTATAGGAACATATACTAATATACTGTGCAAAGTTGAAAGGTAAGATTTTTCCTAAGTAAAAGGAAGTCTGATTAAGCTAGAGATCTTTGAAAATAAAAGCCATTGGCTTGGAAGCCCAGCTGAGAGGGAGAGCAAGTGCTTAGCACGTGTAAGGCCCTGGGTTAACCCCCAGCACCAAAAACAAACCCTGTAAAACTAGCTTTATCACAAATTCTGCAGCATTTTTCATATGTTGAATGAAGTAAATATGCAGTGTCAAGATTTTCATAAAAAATGTGTTCTAAGCCCATGATAAAATGGGTTCATAAATGTCCAAAACACTGTACTGGTCTTTAGGTGAGTAATGCTTCAACGTCCCTTACCCACTAGCCCCCAAAGTACGTTCTCCGGACCTGAAGTGCCAGCATCTCACGGGAACGTGCTAGAAACTGAGATCCTCAGGCCCCACTTGCCTGGAGTCCCAGTGTAACTGGCCAGGAGTCAGTGTGTGAAGTGCGCCCAGCAGGAGACTCTGATGCACTCTTGAGCACATGGCTAAAGCTTCTTGAAGACGGTCAGTCTCAGAGCATGTACTGTCACCGAACAGGCTCCAAGGAGGGCCCCAGACAGAGACGGGGGCCTCGAGTCATCCCAGCCACGAGGCAGGGCGGAGGTTCTCCTCACCACAGAAGACTCTGAGGGGAGCCAGTCAGAGGTCTGAAGGGACTCTGTCAGGTAGAATGCTTGAAGTGTGCGCTCACAGTGTGAAGGGGAAAGAGAGCAAATGAGAAAAATTACCGTGTGGAGCTAGAATATTTGTTTGTATTTGGTTGTCTGAATCTGTAGAATCTGTGAATCTATGGAAAGTTCATTCAGGCTTGGTTTACAGGAAAAGGGTGATGACCCACTTATTAATTAATTAATTAATTAATTACTGGGGGACAAGGTTGGAGACATGGTCTCACTACAGATTCCAAATGGGCCTTGAACTCACTCTGAGGCCAAGTATGTCCTTGAAGTCCTGCCTCAGCCTTCTGAGTGCTAGGACTGAAGGTGTGTACCACCGCACCCAGCTGGACAGCCTGTTTCCCGGGGGGAAAGGCAGGGCACAGTCCTGTGTGTGTGTGTGTTTAGATGGGTAATCTATAATGTTTTGCCTAAAAATTGCTCTTTTAAACTTTTGCATCTGTTTCTCCTAAGGTCAGATTTCAGGCCATTACCTTATGTTTTTGTTGGTCTTTTTTGGGACAGGGTCTCACTATGCAGTTCAGGCTGGCCTTGAACTCACAATGATCCTCCTACCTCAGCCTCCAGAGTGCTGGGATTACAGGCTGCAGGCATGCGCTACCATGTCCCAGCTTACCTTATCTACTGAGCTAATTTATAGACTGATGGAAAATTTAAGAAATTTTGGGTGTGACTTGCCTGGAAGAAAAGAAGCATGAACAAAGAAATTCAGCTGTAGATAAGAACAGCCTGGAGTACTGTGTTCTAAGTTGCAGTCTTCTTAAAAGTACAATTTACAGGTTATGATTTTCCTCATCTCAGTTCTACCTTCTCTATTCCTGCCATCCTACCTCAGTACAACTAAGTAAAAGTGTACTTTGATATTATTTATATTTATATCTTTTAAAATATCTTTTCAGAAATTAAAAATGTATTTAAAGACTGGGCAACAAATACTCTCACAAAACAGGTATCTGATAATTCTTTGATTTTAACAAAAAGAATGGTGAACTTCACTTATCAGATGATCTATAAAAATAAGTTTAATACTTTTTGGATAATTATGAGGATATTCAAAGAGTTATAAATTCTATACTCCACTTATGTATGTGAACACGGGTTTTCAACTTTTTTTTTTTTTTTTTTTTTTTGAGAAAGGGTCTCCTTATGCAGTTCAGGCTGGCTTGCTTTGTAGTCCACGCTGGCCTCTAACTCACAGTGATCCTCCTGCCTCAGCCTCCCGAGCGCTGGGATTACTGGTGCGCACCACCACACCTGGCTCAATTCATATTTTTTAAAGAGAAAATAAGAACAGAATTGATGGTGATAAAGAGTTTCATCCGAGTATAAGTAACATTCATCTGCAGACACACTGGGATTAAGAGTTTCTAGAGAATTGGGGGAGAAAAGTCACTTTACCTCATTAAGATACATACTTTTAATAATTTAATCTTCATTTACTAGTGACTTATAATTTATAAAAACCTTTGTTTGGAGACAGGGTTATGCTGTGCAGTTCAGGCTGGCCTTGAACTCACTCCAGATCCCAGAACAGCTGTAAGGTCACCGCCATCCCCGCTGCACCTCTACCGTGCTGGGGTTACAGGGGCGTGCCAACATGTGTAGCAAAAAGCTACTGTTTTATGTAGGATTTATTACTGAAACTTTTAATGATAAAATAAATTTTAAAGTTTATAAAATAACAAAAATTGGTTGAATAAACTTTAAAATGTCTATTTTATAGCTCGAAAGTATCGATGGAGTGATGAATAAAAGGCTTTAAGCATAAGATATATCACATTAAGATAAAAATCTGTAGGGCTATTAGGGTAAATACAAGGTGAAAGAGAAATACTGTAAAATTTCTGATGTTCAGAAGTGTGCACTTCTATCTACCTATGTACGTACGTACCTGCCCACCGGGGGAGAGAGGAGCGCTGGGTCTGACCCAGGCCCGGGCAGGGGAAGCACATGCTCTACGGCCGCACCCCACCCGGCGCCCATGTGTGCTTTTTATGAATGATGGTGTCAAGATACCAATGATTACAAAGAGCACTGTAATTTTAAAAGTCACTTTCATATACAACTGAAAATACACTCTTTGTGACTACTTAAATTATGAATTTTAAATGTGAACCTAAAAACAGGCAAATAAGGTAAATCAGAAAATTTCATAGTGATGAACCAAAAAGCAAAACGCCTGAAGGTGACCATTTTACAAGAGCAGTATGAAGTCATGGTGTGAAATGCCACACTACGAAGGGTGACAATTTAAAGACGCCACTCAGAGTGAACGTAAGTAGTAAAGTGATCTGCAGCTCAGAATGCTAAAACACATCCCCACGGTTTACATAGCCGGTGATGTGAAGTGTTTCATTTCTCTGTCAAGGCCGAGAAGCCATCAATCATCCGACCGAAGCCTCCAGCCACACGCCGTCTGACGCCACGGGCCGTGGGCGGGCGCCGAGCAGGCGAAGCGCAGGTCACTGTTGCGCCTTTTACCATCTGCTCAGGTCTGGCAGCGGGCTCCTGGTAGCTAATGTGTGTGATACGGTGTTACCGGATACTCCAGAGGGACACAGTGAAGACCATTACATACGTGATACACACTGCACTTTGTGTAAGTGCAGCATATGACTTTAATGCTGTGAGGTGAAACAGCGGTTTAGGGCCATGATTCAATGAACATGGGAAGCTGGGCGTGGTGGCGCACGCCTGTAATCCCAGCACTCGGGAGGCTGAGGCAGGAGGATCGCTGTGAGTTCGAGGCTAGCCTGTCCACCTAAGTGAGTTCAAGGCCAGCCTGAACTGCCCAGCAAGACCCTGTCTCAAAAAGACAAAAAACAAAACAAAACAAAACAAAAACAGTGAACATGGGAGTCATTAGCACTGGTGCTGAGGAAACCAAGGTATTCAGGAAGACTCAACCAGATACAGTAAACAGGTGTGGTAAAGACTGAGGACAAGACTACAGAGAAGGAAGGTTACGAGGGAGGATGAGAACTGAACGTACTTATAGCTGAAAAGAAGAAACAAGAAGCAGTTTAGGATGGAAGAACAAAGATGGAAAAGACAGATTCAGAAGAAGGTAGCGTCTCTTTCTGGACCAGGGAAAGTTGAAGCAGAGTAAGTTCAGATATTAGTGAGTTTGTGGGTGGAAGGAGAAGAAGGAGAAATTCATGCTGCACGGACTTCACATTCATGACTGCAAAGGGAGAGGCGAGGTCAGCTGAGAAAACCAGCGCCTCTCATTCAAAGCACGAGGGAGAACGCCTCGGGACCGCGGAGGAGGGAGCGCAGTGAGAGACGGCTCAGCTTTGTGAGGGCAGGGATCGGGAAGGACTCCATGGAAAGGCTGAGCAGTCACCGTGTGAGAAACCAGCCCAAGGAGCGGCGAGAAGCCTGCCTGCTAGACAGGGGCGTACAGTAGCTGGCAGATACGTGAGCTGCAAAGCATCAAGCCGGGGGCTCTACGAAGGACGCACATATGCAGGTGCACATGCTTGTGTGTGTATGTGAGTGTGCACATACATGTACCTGTCTGCCCTTAACCTCTGATTTTGTGCTACTGCAGCCTAAAGGTGGAGGACGAGGGGATTAGGAGCACTCCACTTACGGATCCAGAACATCACCGGAGAGAATCGTAAGGGGAACACAGTTCACCTATTTCTGGTATGCCAACTTCCCATGACTAAAATCACACATAATACGCCCAGCGAGGTATGTACTGCTTGCATAATTGTGAATACACTAACCTCACATTTCTCTGAATCTTTGTCAACTCGATTCTCTACTGTACTACTCTTCCTTTGTGCTCACCTTCATCTTGCCATTCCTGGAATGTAAAACGTCTAAGGAATTATAGCACACATCCACATTTTCCTTCAGTCCACTAGGGATCTGTTAGTTCTTCATACTATGTATTCCCATTTACCCTCCGTACTAAACATTACATACCTCTTAAGTACACCGAAAAAAAAAGTAGAAATACTAACCTGGGGCAGATGCTACATGGGTCTGGGTCTGGACTTGCTCTATAGCTTGTGGCCTGATTTCAGATGAAACCTGATGAGCTGAACTTGGATGTTCGACAAGTTTTACTGCAGCTAGTGCATCAGCGCCAAACATCTGAATATCCATAGAAACCAGACAGACTAGCATGTCTACAACAGATAAAATACCAGCAGTTATTATTCCGTGATATTAGGGAGCAGTGTCTTCTCTACAGAACACGTATTGTCCAGAATACTACTTCTCAAGGGTCAGCCCATGAGTCACTGGGCATCAGAACTGGCTACGGGTCATAACAACGAAGACTTAGGCTCCGTTTCTGCAGACTCATTCAGCAGCTCTGAAGTAGGGACTCAATGCCTTTGTTTTGAGACAGGGTCTCACTATGTCGCTCAAGCTGGCCTCCAACTCCTGTGTAGCCCCGGCTGGCCTCAAACTTTCAAGAGATCCTCCTGCCTCACCTTCTCAAGTGCTGGGATTATCGGTATGCACCACCACACCTGGACACAATGCCTACATTTTTACAAGTTTCCCAAGCAGTTCTGATGTGTAGCCAGAATTATTGAATGGAAAGTGACATCTTAATTTCCCAATAATAACATTTTCAAGAAAAATCTTTACTAGCTTTGTTAGTATTTACCCCCAAATAGGCATGATTTTAATCCCTCAGAATAATGTCAACATGGGGTGCTTTAGTAAGACTGTTTAAAACCGGCAAGCTTTAAGGAGGTGAGTTCACTAACTTTTGGAACTATAACTACCAATACCTAGCAGCAGCAGGAACCTTGCGTGGCTTACTTGTCGTTGTTTAAAACACACCTGCCAGCTTGAAGCACCGCTGTACGTGCGTAACTGTCCCATCAGGTCTCTGGACCACCTGACAGGACTGTCACGTGCTCCTGGACGGGGCCGCACACGTGCCACTGGTGGTTCAGAGCCGCCCAGCAGTGCCATGTACGCATGACGGCCTCACTGTGAACATGTTAACAGTAGTAACTGACCAGCTAAAGTGCAAAGACCTGCTCCCAAAGAATCAGACATGGCAGTTTTGTTGATTTAAAAACTGATATGTAACAAAAGGTAACAGGAATAGGGACATCTGATAGCCATATTATCCTGTTCTTTACATGACAGATGTTTCTTGCTCATCTGGAACGAGTAGAAAGAATAATGCACACAAGTATGCAGGAGGGGGTACTGGCTCCTGAAAATTAAACAGTAAATCCCGAAGAGCAACTGAAGTTTTATTTTTTTGAGCAGGCGCTCGTGTCACTCAGGCTGGCCTTGCACTCACTGCTGTCAGGATCACAGTGACCCTCCTGCGCCCTGGCTCTACGGGCGTGTGCCACCATGCCTGCGGAAGTTTTTATGCAGCACCATATGAGATATTTTTCTCAATAGAGAAAATAATTGAAAAGTTTTGGTCCAGTCTTACCTATACTCTTCTCTACTTTCGCGATCTTTGTGCAAGCCACGTCTCCCATCTCAGTGAGCATGTATAGCACCTCGAGTGTTGAAATCACGAGCAGCACGTCAGGTAAGGTGAGATGACAAATGATCTCTCTGTATGAATCTTGATCCACATATTCACAAATTAAAACACCATTATCTTCTGCTTTGCAAAGATTTCCCAAAATTTCCATGCCTGGAAAACATACACACCAAGTATATTTGCTTTGTTTTCTTGCAGTACTAGGGGTTGAACCTAGGGCCTCTGCAGTGAGCTACATCCCAGTCCTTTTTGATTCTGGAAGAGGGCATCACTAAGTCACCCAGGCAGGGTTTGAGCTCTCAGAGTGCTGGAATTACAGACCTGCACCGTCACACCCAGTTATATACAATTACTTTTTTTAAATGATAATCTTTGTTTGCTTTAGACAGTAAAAACTTTAAATGAACACTCACCCCTCATTTTTAAAAATCTATCCCTTGACATCAGGCATTTTGTAACAGTATGAAACATCAGATGAGTGGTTTTGAAATCAACAGGGTCCAATAAGAGCTAGAAGAAAGAACACTACTGTTGAGATCTGCTTCTTCCAGAGTTGCGTATTTCAAATTTAAAAAAATAGAAGTGAACAAAACAGGGAGTTACTTTACAAAATGTAATTACTGAGAGCAATCATCACTAAATTTGAAGAACTGTTCAAGTATGTTTTTGTTCACATGAGAGTCTGTGATACTGTCACACTGCCACTTTAGCAATGAGCACATGCAATCGTTTAACATCCTACGAACCCGGCACGTACACGACAGCAACACCCCGTTGTTTCAGAGTAACAGCGGCTAGTTATAAGAGCTACTCGAAGGTACTGTCACAGGCTTACCTCAGCTGCAATATTTCCTAATGTATCAAGGCCTAACTGCCTTAAAGAAATAAAATGACTATGTGCTGAAAGTAACAGGAAACGAAGACAGGTACGATTAGCTGCCAAGAGCTTCACATTGCCCTCCTCAAAGGAAAGATTTCGCAAAATCACTGCGATCTGAAGTACCCGCTGTCCTTCAATATCATTAATGCCCAGCTTTCGAGGTGGATGAAATAAGGATTCCCAAATCCATTCTCCTGATGTACCTTCTACAACAGAAAACACACATTTCGCTTCAGTCGGTATTTCATTCATCATTACTGCGATTTCAAATTGCAGCATTTTTTTCTCACTGACTTACCATGAGACTTGTTCCTGTCGGAAATGAGGTCACGGACTTCGTTATCATCAACAATGTCTTTCCAAAACTGTAAAGACGCATTAAAATATTAAAACAACCTTTTAAGAAGTCACACACAATATGAAACTAATATTTCTACTTCTCACTGGTCACAGGGTATCACTACACTCTTTGACACAAATGGGTCGATGTTGATTTCCCATAGGTCAGGACTCATATATGATAACTTTTTTTTTGAAGACCGAAAGTTCTTAGCTTGGGGCCATCGGCCCCTGTAAGGTCTTTGGAAGAAACTGTAAGAGCTGTGAGCTAGGGTGAAGAGAAAAGCCACCCATTCGTTCATTAGACAGACTGTTTCTTGAACTCTGAATGCCGGGCAAAAACCAAAGTCATGCTACCAGTGCCTGTGCAGTCACGCAGATGAGTCACAGATTAGTTTCTATTTCTTTTACAGCTACTGGAAATATCCAGAAATATTGTTTATGCAGATCGGCACTCAAGAAGTATGGCAGATTTTAATCTCATCTGTAAATTTCATATAATCATAGTATTTATATTTATAGACACTACTGAAACATAATGAGTCGGGAAGTTCTGGTTGCCAAATTAGTATTCCAGAGACTTAAATTGTTTATACTATTCCACAGCTATAAATGGTTTTTGATCCACAAATGAGACGAAATAAGTCACAATCAACCCAACTGTTTAATAATGTCTAAAGTTAAAAATCAAATGTTTTACACTAATATATCCTACACAAAATGAACTTTGCTTATGCCACTTGACTATAACTTAGGTACCAATAAGGAAGGAGCTATTACTGGATTTTCTATTTCTAAACATTATATTCACATTACAAAATAACTGTTTTTGGGGGATCTACACTCCTTTGCATTTAAGCCCATTAGTCTGAGAAGAGATTCAAAGGCTTCACGAGCCCATCGAAGGGGTCCACTGCACACACACAAAGAAACGTATTATAAATAATGTTCAGTCAAAAGAACAATTAACTAGGCATGTGAAAAAAAGGGGACCTTTTATAGCCAAGAAAAAAAGGCCATACAGAAGGCAAATAACAAAGATATCAGACATGGAGCTTCAAATGACCCTGGATAACAAGTTCAAAAAAATAAATAATGGAAAATGTTGGCAAAGAAATGGAAACTAAGAAAACATTAAATAGAAACTATGGAACTAAAAAATATAACTCAACAGCTTGGAGATTAAAGAGGCAGCATAAGCTCCAGGAAAAATCATCACCAGGTAGACAGGAAGGGCAGAAGGTCCTGAGAAGGATGACAAAATGACGGCAAACTTCGTAACAGGAAGCGTGAAAGCCAGAAAACACGGCAAAGAAAATATCTACCGAACAATTATTGTTACAGAATCTCACTGTTCTTCAAGAATAAAGGTGACATAAAGACATTTACTGACAAGCGAAAAACCAAGGAAACTCATTACCTACAAATCTGAATTCAAAATACAGGAAAAGGGACAACACGATTGTACCAAAAAGGGAAAACGTTCTGAAGAGACTTTTTCAGGCCACAGTGGAGTCGCTGGTACTACTGCACTCCTCCTACCACACCCCGCATGCACGAGCAAGAAACCTCAGCGGAGACCGGACAGCAGGCAGCAGCCGCTGAGGCAGCGGAAGACACGCGAGGCCAGCCTGCTGACTGCCCTGCGTTTCTGTTTGCACAGTGCCTTAGCTTAACCTGCAAGAGAAACTTCAGAGAACGCGCAGCCGAGGAAGACTGATCAAAGGTCACCACAACTACCACGCACAGGACTTGAGAGCAGTTTTCTGGCCACTGCACAGCACAGCGCAGGAGGAAAGGCCCTGCACACGAAGAGCTCACGCATCTCAAGGAGGATTCACTGAGTCCACTGCTGGGTACTACGCCGCACATGCAGTCACACTCCACAATGCCAGGCAAAAACCGGAGAGCAGATACTAAGGAACTAAAACCGAACAGTTCCCACAACAGAAAAAACACATACACCCAACTTATTCCACAGAAATAGCACACTGTAACATCTTAGATTCCGGGGTCAGGGGGTCCAGAGCGGCGATGGCGAACCCTGGACCGCTCGCAAGGGTAACGGCCGGCTGCAGCACGGCGAGCACAGGTTCACCACCACCGTGCCGGAGCAGGCGAACCACAAGTGCGTCTGGTCAGGCAGTCCTCCCAAGGCCCACGGTGAAGGCGTGGCCCAGGGTGTGGGACCGGGAGGAGCGACTGCTGGAGGCGGGGCCGCGTGGGAGGTGCTGGCGGCTGAGCCCAGGAGACTGCAGGACCTGGTCCCGTCCTCGCTTCCGCTTTTCGCCTGCTGGTCCTGGGGGAGTAGTTTTGCTCCCCTGTGCACCTCTGCTGGCGTGTGCTGCCTCGGGACGGGCCCAGAGCAGCAGGGCCGCTCTGTGCTAGAGCAGAATCTCCACACCAGGGAGCTCAAACAAACCCTCTTCTGTACAATGGATTATCTCAGGTATTTTGTTACAGTGACAGAGAGCTAACAGAACATGTCGTACATAACACAGCTAAAACCAACCCTCCTATGAGGACCCAGAAGTCAACTACCAGCCTGCGAAGTTCCACAGTCCTTTTTTTTTTTTTTTTTTTGGGTGGGACCGGGGCGAGAACAAGGGGACTAGGAATTGAACTCAGGACCTTGTGTTTGCCAGGCAGGTGCTGTGCGGTTGAGCTACAACCCTGGCTCCCCAAAGTCTTAAAAAGCCACCAGTACCCAGAAATTCAACAATATCATATGCACAATATTCAAATCTAATAAAGCTAACGGACATATGAAATTAGAAAAATGACCCACAACCAAGAAAAAAACCAGTTTTAACAAAAACAGAACTCAAAACACTGGTAACAGAATAAATGGACAATGGACAACAACTTTAAAAAAACTATTACAGGCCAGGGATATAACTCAGGGGCACAGCGCCTGCCTAGCAAGTGCAAGGTCCTGAGTTCAATTCCCAGTACCAAAAATAAATAAATAAATAAATACTATAATAAAACTATTATTAAATATGCTAAAAGGAGTATAATCCTAAAAGATTTAAGGAAAATACAAACATAATCAGGAGGGACATGGACAATGTAAAAGAGAACCAAATCGGATTTTCAGAGATGAAAAATGTAAGCTAAAACAAAAAAATTCACAAGATTTGAATAAATACAGAAGATGAAAGCATAACTAAAAAACTATCCATGATGAAGTATACAGAAAAAAGTTAATGAACACAGTGACCTGTGGGACAATACTGCAGATTAATATATGATGTAGTTCCCGAAAAATGTAAGAATGAAAAATCTTCGAGAAAATAACTGTAACGTTTTCCAAATTTCATATAAAACATTACACCATAGATTCCCGAAGCTACATGAACCCCAAGTAAGACAAACAATGAATACCACAGGGCACCTCAGACGCAAATGAAACACAAGCAAGAACGTGCACAGCGGAGGCAGCATCACTCCGCAGAGGAACCGCAAAGCCGGCCCCTCGTCAGCGCCAGCGAAGCCTTAGGCCTGAAGGGTTCAGACAACAGCCTGAAACCTCCAATGCTACACTGATGAGATTACAATTTTTAGGAAATGAAAGCTGAGAGGCTAAGCTCAACTGCATCATCGAATTCACAAAACAGAAATGGCCTTAGCATAGTGATTTAAAGGCAGAACACATCCTGAGGGGGAGGAAAGCAATATACATCACGAAACACACTACGTGTAAACACTACACGAAAAGTGTAAGGATGGAAAAAAATCATGAAAATTTAATCATAAGAAAGCTGGTGTAAAGCTGGACGCGATGGCTTGTGCCTGGCAATCCCAGCTACTTCGGGAGGCTAAGGCAGGAGGACCCCAAGTTTGAGGATACCCTGGACAACTTAGCAAGGCTCTGTCTCAAAATAAAATGTAAAAAGGGCTGGGGATGTAGCTCCATGGTGAGACCACTTGCCTAGCATGGATGAGGCCTGGGTTCAATCAGCAGCACCACCAAAATAAAAAGTAATGTGGGTAAACTCATTAGAAAAAGTGGACTTCATGGCAAAGGGTAATGCCAGAAATCAAGGAGAATAATTCCTAAACATTAAAAACAGTCCAACAGGAAAACATAACAACCCTAAATATATGTGACTAATAACAAAAGTGCCAGTACACAAAGCAAAGAGTGAAAAAGGGTATAAACATTATTCAAAATTGTAGCAATGATTTCAATACTTTCTCTAAGTAAGTCACAGAAGTTAGAAAAGCAGTGCTAACACCAAGTCTTACCTCTCCTAACCCTTCCATCTAACAACAGTGGGGCACAAATACTTTTAAAATGCACATGAAATGCTAACCTCAAAAAATGATATGCTAGCTAGATCATAAAAAAGTCTTGGTAAGTTTAAAAGGTCTGAATTGTATAGAATATATTTTCTCAACCACAATGGAATTTGATTAGACATCAATGATGACGATAATAAAACCTACTAGGAAAATCCACACAGCACCCTTTTATGTAATCCATGAATCAATGAAGAAATCACAAAGGAAATTAGAAAACTAATTTGAACTATGTGAGGAAAAAACAAAGAAACAAACAAAAAACCGAACAACCAAAATTTGTAGGATAAAGATAAAGCCATTTACGGAGGAAAATTAATAGTATATGCTGGTATTAGGCAAGTGAGAAAAGATTAATAGTAATACTCTAAAATAGAGTAATGTGTAACGGAAGAAGCATGTAAATCACAATTGAGGACAGGAGATATAATAGTTTCAGGATCCCTGCATGGCCCCCAAAGTGGTGAAAAGTACTTATTTTACTAAATTAGTAAGGGATCAAATTATAATTTCTAGTGTAACCCATGAAAGAATGGAAAAAAGCATATCTAAATATATGAGTAAAGAGAAATTATAATAAATAGTAAACGGGCAGGTCAATTTAGAAATAGGAAACAAGGAAATGAAAATACCCAGGAAGGATATATACAAATTAGCAGTATGGTAAGTTTAAATACAAATAATCAAAATTATATTAATAATAATTTTTTATTAATTCAAA